TATAGACGCCTCATGCATGTATGGACGGGACATTGATACTGTGGCTTCATGCCGCACAGACTCTGATTCCGACCACAAGATGGCAGCATTTGAAAGAAGACAAAGATTCAAACTCTGGAAGTGAAATGTTTTCATTTGGTTTATTTTTGCTGTTCGATGTTTTGAACAATGAATCACTTTGGTGTCATCTGGTGTTGGAATCAAAAATGACCAACATATCATACGTAAAAAGGTTTTTAAATATGACGTATGAAGGAGGCAACGAATTCCATAAGTAAGTTACGTATCCAAACAAAAACAGTGTTTGACGTGTGCATGACGTGACAAAGCCAAAGTTTCCTGTGTGACACGTGAACTGACAGAGAAGCGAATCAAACCCTGGACATTAGAACTGACACAGGTTGAGACTTCAGTTGGATTTAAGACTGTGGAACTGACGCTCAGCGCGGTGACCAGGGTTCGACCCCCATTCGATTTCAAGTCCAACACGTTAACCACTCACAGCTTCGTGAAAGAAGTTCTGCCCCGAACCACAAACTGTAAATGAAAAGTTAACGGTCCAGGACCAGCATCAGGGTCCAGATGTTTCTGCAGCAACTCGTTAACTGGGGGATGAATATTATCTTACGTCAACGTTCCTTCTTTAAAAAGTCGTGGTTCTCACCAGGCTCCGAAGTCGTGTCAGCTCTTCCTCCAGATTCGATGCCGTCTTCCTCAGCTCCTCCAGCTCGGCCTGGACAATCTCTGGAGAGTCAGAGGTGACCTCCAGAGAACTCAGCACCTGAACACACATGACAGACATTTCTTTTACTTCTTGAAGCCGCATCAGTTTCACTCATGTGTTTGAAGAGTCGGCTGTGAGGGATTATTACCTGAGTGTTGAACCTGCGCTCGTTCTTTTCGAGAAGCCTCACACTCGACTGTCTCAGGTCGTTTAGAAGCTGGAGAAGATTTGACGACTCACCAGTCTGCACGTCCACAACCACACCCCCTGACATCTGGGCCAGGAGACCATGCATGTCCTGCACATGTGGACAGGAAGTGTGACGTAGCTGCAGGTTGGTCTCGGTGGTCCAGGTCAGGTGTGTGTGGTTTTACCTGTTGGTGTTTTATCTGCAACGTCGTCAGTTCTCGAGTTTGATCGTTCAGAAGACTCTGCAGCTCCGGCAGCGTGTGGAGCCTTAGCTCCTCGTCCAATCGCCTCCGGTTACTAAGCCCCGCCTCCAGAAGACCACGATGCTCACGCACTTTTTCACACCTATTCACACAGCAAGGGCTGATGGGATATGTCTGCACCACATGACAATCAGCTGTGTGGGGGTTTACCTGGAACTGAAGTCAAAGACAGCGAGCTCTGCACCGAGCAGCTGCAGCTTCACCCGAGCCCGGGCCGAGAGACATTCACTGATCTGTCAGTGGGGGGGGGGGGGGTCAAGATCAGTGATCATGTGTTGGAGTTCAGCCTGAATCTTTTTCAGACTTGCCTCCGCGTGATTTTAAACAGACGAGTTCCAACCTGAACCTGAGACGCTGCAGCTCAGTGTCACCTGGTTCCACCTGCAGGAGCTTTATTCACTTTCATTTAGAAATATATTGTTTTACTTTGTTGTATCTCACCTGCTCCTGCAGCAGAGACATTGTCCTCAGGTGTCCGTCCAGCTTTCTCAGACACTTTCTGTCCAGCTCCTTCTGGATCTGACGCTCCAGCCTTTGATTGGCTGCCTCGAGACACCGGACCTGCATCCACCAATCAGAGGAGATGAGATCTTCATCTGCAAACAGCTGGAACGGTTTGATCTGTTTTTGATTTCCTCTTTATTTCTACAGAACCTTTGGATCTTTGTTTCAGTTTTTAAGTTCTCGTGCTCTGTCAAATAATATTAAGAATTAATGATCAAATAAATAATGAAGTATCTGCAAATCAAAATTATACAAGTAAAATGACTTTTTATTGAATTAGAGTGTGTTTGTTCTGCCACAGGAGAGAGAGAAGGTTTTAAAGAATGTGTGGAAACAAACACTACAACGACTTTCACATGTTCTCTTCTTATTTTCAAGAGAATGAATCATCACTTTTAAATTTCTTTTTTTTTTGTTACTATTCTGTTTTTGATTGTGTTATTGTGTAATTGTGTGTTACCTGCTGCAGGTACGACTCCAGCCTCCTGTTGGGCTGCTGCTCAGGAACATTCTCTCTGGACAAACGGCGTCCAGCTGCAGCAGCTGAGCTGTGAAGCGTCGACACTTTGTCTGCATGAAGAACACGACGACCTGGAGCCAGAGACATTTTGTCTGCATGAAGAACMYG